TGTTTTTGGTATCTTGTTTGTTTTTTGTGTGTTTTATTGTTTGTTTTTTAAATATTGGTAAAAATTGGAAATACGTACTAATCGTTTATCACATTTGCAAGTGTAAAAAGCTATTTTGATCATCAACTGCCGTTTATTTTCGTGTTTTTCTATTTGATTTTGGTTTTTAGAAGTTTCGATAGTTCCTTGTTATTGAAATACAGAAGTAACGAAACTGGGCGCTCCTTTGGTTTTTGTCTTATAAGGACCTGTTTTAACCTGAAAAATCCCAAAAAGTATAATTCAGAGAAAATTTGGCATGGTTTTCTTTGAAAAATGATATTATATTGGCCTGAAATAAGAGTTTTCCACCCTAAAAAAAATCAGTGAATAACTTTTTTACCAGTTAGCTTTGTGTTTTCAAGTTCAAATAAGAAAAAATTGAATTAAAAAATAGTAAAATAACGGGAAAAAACAAATATTTTACTTGAAAACAATTTTGTTATTCGGCATTTTGTTATAAAATAATGGTAAACGCCTGATCGTGATCACCAGCCTCACTTGGTTTGTAAAATCCATCACATTTGATACACTTTGAATTGTTTGCAGACAAACAAAACTCGACACTTTTGTAACTCACACATTCAGAGTCAACCAATACAAAATCCTTTTCAACACAATTATTGCAGTTTTGGTAATTGTCACATGAGATGCAGTTTTCAAAACAAGTCTCGCAAATGTAATTATCCAAATAATATCCATTTACACATTTTAGACATCCAATTGACGTTTTAGTTTCGCAGTTGGTCAAATTGTCATATGACACACACAATTTATTTTCAGTGTTATAAAGTTTGAAATATTCAGTTTGACAACTCAAACACGAATCACCATCAACACAAGTACCACACGACTCATCACAAGCAATACAATCAGTTTCTCGTTTATAATATTTGTCTTTGCAAATTGCACATCCACTACCCGTTGGAAGTGTCAATTCACACTTTGTGGATAAATCGCCAAGTGGTTCACACGTAAAAGAAGAAGAGAGATAATACTGTGAATCACATGATAAGCAATAAGTTGTGTTGTAACATCTATTGCAAGGTGAAATACACATATCACATTCACTGTTAATGTTAAAATATCCAGAATTGCATCTTTGACACCCTTTGTTTTTACGAGTAAAACACAAAACTTCACCTCCTTTTAATTGCTGTTTTGTGTTTGTTGAAGTGTTTTTCTTATCATTTTTGTCATCAAAATTTTCTGAACAATTTCCATTCTTAAGTTTGAAAGAATCCAAACATTCAACACATATGGATTGTGAAATCAGTGAGTATTTACAGTCAACAATTTGGCATTGAGAAATTGGAATACAAAAATCGTATTTTCCTTCGTTGTTAAGTGTTTCTATTGGGTTAAACCCTTCATTGCATTGCTAACAAAAAAGACCATCTGCTTTGATACAACCAACTTCACTCTGTTCAACACAAAATCCGTTCGTCTGTACAACATAATTTTCATTACACTTTTTACATCTCCCACCTTCACAATTATTACAATTTGGTGTTGAACACAAAGAACATCTACCGTATTTTAGTTCCATATTATTATCAACACATTGTGAACAATAATTTTTGCCATATTTCAAACAGTTGTGATCACCCATGCAACTCATTGTTTCAACGTGATAAACTTTATTTTTTACACAAAAGAATTGTTATTTTGGCTTTGTAGTTCATACAAATTGAAGAGTAATCAGTACATTTCACACATTGATTGTTTTCATTCAAATAATTGCCATTTTCACAGCTATAAACTACATCTTTTCGAGTTTGTATATTCGCAGCAACTTGACAAATATTATCATTAACAACATAATTATCTTCACATTGAATGCATTCCTTTTGGGTTTTGTTGTTTTTCTGATATTTGCATTTGATACGTTGCTTTGGCAGTCTGATCCAACTGATATTTGATACGAACAGTCACATGACACTTTCGAAAGAGTTGATTTGTCCACACATTTGGTTGCCGATACACATTTGTTATTTGACAGATAATACCCATCTGAACATCTTAAACAATTTTCGTGATTTAAAGCAGCCGAACAGCCAATTCCATTGTTTTCACATTTCTTTTTTGTGGTGTTGTAAAACGTGTTTGTTTCACAAAAACCACAAATATTGGTTTGAGATTTAATTTCAAATGGCGAAAAACACGTGCTACAAACCGGAATTCCAACTGTTTTTGTTGTACAAATTTGGCAATTTGGGGTGCCAATGTAGCACTTTTCACATGACGTTTCCGTGTTTTTATAACTTCCAGAAGCACAACTCAAACACGTTTGGTTGAAGAGGTAATACGGGTCTTGACACGACAAACATATATTTTCTCTTGGATTACACGATTTACAGTTTGTAATTGTCGTGTTACACTGAACACAGATACCACTATCATTTGGATAAAATCCATTTTCACATTCAACACATTTTCTGTTGTAATCAGACGAACACGTTTTGCAACTTGGATCAAACAATTTACAAGCAACACACACACGACTCTTGGTTGCTTCAAACACATAATTGTTGATACACCCAGTGCACTTGCCTGTTGTTTGATCGCAGTTTCCATTGCATGTTGCATCACATGAAACACACGTGTATGTCGACTCGCTTGGATACATCCCACTTGTTTTGCACACACTGCATTTTCTCTGATATTTTGAGTCACACGTCAGACAGTTTGAATCAAAAGTTGCACATGAATCACATATTAAACTGTTGGTTGTTAAGAAGACGTAATTTGACGAACAACCGATACATGCACCTGTTGAGCCGTTGCATTGTCTTCCACACGTTGGGTCACAATTACCACACTTGTAATTTTCTGATGGTTTTGGGTATTTTCCACTCGAACACAACTCACATTTTCGTGTGAAATCTGATGCACAAATTTTGCAATTCGAATCAAATTCAGAATACTCTACACACACTTTTGATATTGGAGAAGTTATTGTGTAGTTTACCAAACACTGAGAACAAATTCCAGATGTCGAGTCACACGTATTTGGCTTGCAAGTTGAATCACAAGCAACACAATTACCGTTTAATAAATAGAAACCGCTGTTCTCTCTACATTTGACACACATTCGTTCTCCATTTAATGCGCACTCGACACAGTTTGCATCAAAAGTTGAACAGTCAATACACATCTTTCCCTTTGGTTCATTAAAGACTTTACCAGAAACACAGTTTGTGCAAATTTTATTTGTTGTGTCGCAACTACCACCACACGAAGTATCGCACGTTTGACATTTTCCAGTGGAAGTATCAGGGTACATATTCGATTTGCATTTTGTGCAATTTCGCGAACTTGACGAACTACATGTTTCACAGTTTGGGTCAAATGACGCACAACTTAAACATTCTTTTTGTTTTTGTTCATAAAACACATAATTAGATTTACATTGTGTACAAATATTATTTGAGTCACAAGTTAAACATGTTGAATCACACGAAACACAATAACCATCGACCAAATACGAAATATCACTTTGACAACTCAGACATTTTCGCTCCGTTGTTGAACAGCTGAGACAATTTGGATCAAACGCTGAACAACTTTGACACTGTTTTGGGTTTGACGGGTTAATTGTGTATTAATTGTCTATACAAGTTATGCAGTCTCCTGTTGAAATTGAACACCCATTTGCACAACTGGAGCGACAGTCAATACAAGAAAAAGGCGATGACGGACTTGGATACTTTCCAGTTGTACATGTTGTACATTTTATGGTGGTTTGTGAACAACTCGAACAATAGGGATCGTAAGAAGAACACAATTGACATTGAATACTATCTACTGTTTGTTTGGTGTAACCCACTGCACACATTTCACATATTCCAGTCTTTTTGTTGCATCCATTATACGCACATGTTGAATCACATTGGGAACACGTGTTATTAGAAATCAAATAGTAATTGTCTTTGCAAGTTGTACATCTTCTGCGTTGATTTTCTCCACAAACATCACAATTTGGGTCAAACAAAGAACACGCCTGACATGATCCATTGTTGATGAAATATGGAATATAATTGTCAATACACCCATTACACGTTCCATTAGTATTACATGTTTTGCAAGTTAGGTCACAAAACGAACACAATCCACTTGAGTTTAGATATGAAATACCAGGTGCACAAGCCAAACATTTTTGTTCTG